TATATATATATATATAACTATTGTAATATTACATGGAACACAAAGGTTTTGCAAGAGAACACAAAAGATTTGAAAAATATTTTTTCCTCCCACCCCGTATTTTTCCCACCAACATGTCCCTTTAGGGGTTCTGTAGTATACATACAGATAAGGTTATATTAAATGACTTAACCTGTGATATAAGATTTTGAAAGAAATAAATAATTCAGATAAATCACAAGCCTCTCAAATAAAGAGACAAACAAATGACTCAGTGTATGGACATGGACAAGAATTATACGTTCACATAAAAGAGTTCCATCAAACTGATTCATCGCAACTGAAACACCACTAGGAGAAACAAAAACATGATTGTGTCACTGCAAACCATGTGTCCTCCTTACAGACACTGTAGGTTATTTGAAATCAAAACTTATCTTTTCTCTTTTGTAGATCACATCATGATGCCATCCTCATTAATCCAGGTCCTCCAGCACTTTACCAACTGAACACAGACAGAAAATATATTGATGGGAATCAGAACAAAGTCAGACGATGGACATATGGAAGAAGAGACAGAAACAAGCAGAACAAAGTCATACTGCTGGTGGGAGAAACCGGTGCTGGAAAAACCACCCTCATCAACACCATGATCAACTATTTACTGGGAGTGAAGTTTGAGGATGAAGAGTTTTACCAAATCACAGAAGAAGAAGATTTAGAAGAGTCATTAACCCAGACATCTACTCCATCGGTGACAGAATGGAGAAAAAACCTTGGGAGAAACCAGGCTCAGTCGAGGGGCCAGTTCTCCTCTGGCCAGACGAAACCAGCATGGTGTGGTTTAAGTCCAGGCTGCAACACAAGTCAGACTGGATTTATATCATTCAGAAAATTCCTCCAGTTCTTCTCTTTGATTATTGTGGTACATCACATGGTGAAGTAGTCGAAGCTGGCCACAGGGTCTGTGCAGAGGACTGGTTTGGTTCTCATGGTCTTTGCTGAGCATCTGTGCCGATGGCTATGTAGTCGGTGAGGTCTTCGCAGGGGATCTGTCTCCATGGCTTGTCTAGTTGTTGTGGTCTCCACTGACATTCAGGGCTGTTGGGATTATCACTAGGTGCTGATCCACCATCTGATCTAGACATCTGCGATCACTGTTTATGAGGTGTTTGTTGAAGAAAACCCAACATCTCTGACCATCATTGACACCCCAGGATACGGAAACACTGAAGGATACGAGAAAGACAGAGATATTTCTAAGTATCTGAGCAGATTATTCTCAGATGAGGACGGGATTCATTATATTGATGCAGTGTGTTTTGTGATGAAGGCGACTCAGAATCGAATCTCTGGAAAAGAGCTTTACATATTTCACTCAGTTCTGTCTCTGTTTGGTAAAGATATAGAGAACAACATAGTGTTTCTGTTCACACATTCGGATGGACGACATCCAAGAGATGCTCTCAGTGCCAGTAAGAAAGCCCAGATTCCCTGCAGAAGAGATGGGAAAAAACAACCTGTTCATTTCTTATTCAACAACCAGCAGAAAGAGAAGAGAGACAAATGTTATGAGCGAGTTTTGAATTCCGCCTGGGAAATGGGAGACGAAAGCATGAATGAGTTTTTGACACTCCTGGAAGAAAAGAACAGAAAAAGTGTTGACGACTTGAGATGTGTGTCTCTAATCTGAAGGAGCGAATCTCTGAGAAGGAGTTAAAAACTGAAGAACTGACTGACATTCAGGAAAACCTTAAAATGCAAAGAGACAAGATTAAGCTCTAATGAGAATGTTCAGTTTACAGTAGTACCTCAGCTTTTAACAGTTGGATGTTTGATTGTGTGTGTGTGTGCGTAATAATATTGTGCAATCAATTGGTGTAGCCTACCATGAGTGAAACATAGGGGTGGATAAACTGAACCTGAATAAATGATCATTGAAGGAAGCGTGAATTCGGCTATATTCTATACAATTCCTAAGAAGAATGTGCGAGGAGCTTCTCTTCAGTGGTGATACTAAAACAAAGTGTTCTGAAACAATTAAGCTTTTGATACTAATAGATTTAAACTGGGTTCATTATTGAAGCTTCACTGTCATCCACTGGCCAGTAAGATGAAGAGCATCTTTCAGGGGCTTGTTTTACAACCCATTCATCAGGTTCAATGATGAAATCACATTGAGTTTAAAAATTGAGTTTGTGTGTATTTTTCATTAAAGCATTTATACATTTATCATGTAAACAAGGTTCATGTTTTAATGAGTCACGAAGACAATGTAAATAAATAAATAAAACCAATAAGAGTGGGTTGAATTGTTATCCGATTACAATTATACAGTTATTTGAATGTGTTTATATATTTAATGTAGGCTTTATTTCTGCCTAGAAACAAATGATATTTCTCTGAATTTCCAATCATAAAGCAACAACAACAACGAGCTGCAGGTAAAACAGAAAGTGAAAATAATATGAGAAGTTACTCTACTTGTGCGGGTTACTTTTCTGTAATCAACAGTGGATTTAACGAAGTTAGATATACAACATATTAATTACACTGTTTGCAGGATGGAAATGGAGTGACTGTCCAGCACTAATTCACCTACAGAGAGCTGATTGTTCAGTCTCCAGGTAAGTATCAGTAAGGAGGGACATAAAAAGTGAACTTCACCATTGTGCTCAAGTTTTTTTTTTTTTTTTTTGGAGAATTATGAGATTTAATGCAGGGGCAAGACTAAATAAATGTTTGTGGCAGGAACAGAGATTTAGCTTTCCTGACTGTATGAATCATTTATGATAGTTGGGTGAAAAAAAATAAATAAAATAATGCGGTGGTAATCATTTTTGCAAAAGCTTTTATTCTTCTGTAAGAAATGGTTTTGACCTGTTTTATCATCCAGCATGTGAAAACCATGAGAAAAGTAACCACTTTCATTTATCTAGACACGTGATTTGAGGAATCATCCATACCTGCAGCACAGACACTGAAGGACAACGCACACACTTGACTCTTCCTGAGGTTTGAGCACATCACTAACACTAGATAAGTGCAATAATAATAAACTAAAACGCAATTAAATATTATCTTCTGCCTGAAGCAATCATTTTCCTCAGTTTTACAGAGACACCTGCTGCGATGTTTAACATGAGATTGAAGGGCATCTTAGAGTATGACCAGATTGTAGATTTAAAAAGGTTAGTGTCAAAATCCATGTGTAATCTTATTCATAATCTTATTCATTCCTGTCACCTTAAGAGATAACAACAATCAACATTTAACATTTACTTTTGTCTTACGTCCTATAAGCAAGGCATCGGATTGTTCGCACAACAGCGTTTTTCTTGCACGAATAGGTAAACAAGTCAACTTGTTTTTTGCCTACTTCAAAATCATAACATCATTAAATATAAAAATAGTCTAATAGCCTACACCAAACTCAATGTCAGCATACTGTTGTTGTTGTTTTTTTTAACATATTGACATATGGCATAGAATAACATATCAACAAACCAACAATAGGCTACTGTTTCTGGGTCCAAGCCATAACTTGTTTCGAGTGAAAATACAGTAAAAATAGTAAAAAATCTCAGTAGCCATTTATGAGGACTCAAGGGTGCAAAACTACTGAGTTTAGTTCCAACCCTGCTCCAACACACATACCATGCAGTTTTCTAAAAAAGCCTGAAGGACTTGATGAACTGGTTCATGTGTGTTGAAGCTAAACTCTGCAGGGCTGTGGAACTAAGTTTTCGACCCCTGCTTTATCATATAGCACACCTTTAAGCTAAACTTTTAATAACTCACAG